TGCCATTATCAGCAATTGGACTTGAAATCTTTAAAAGTAGATGATGTAATTTTATTTTGTACATATAATTATTGGGGAAAAAAAATCAGAGAACTAATAGTTGTGGCCTAACTAGTGAGTTAGATGTGAAATGCTTAGGATACAGGTATTTATTGTTAGACCTGAAGTAATATGATTATTTCTATTACTCCATTTGTAAGATTTATTTTCCCCCATTAGCAGGTGTTGTAGTTCCTCTTTGTTTTTCGAGATAAGATTTCTCTGTGTAGCTTTAGAGCCTACTCTGAAACTCACTCTGTAGATTAGGCAGTGCCAGGCTTAAAAAAGGTATGTGCCACCACTGCTCAGCTCTTTTAGTTATTCGTGACATGACTGTATAGGACATTGCGTTGGATTAAATTGAAATGTTTAGTACTTTACAAACGAACAGTTTATGACATTTATATGTGTCTCTGTAATTTTGTATGTGTGTGTATGGAGAGGTGTGGTATATGCAGGTGAGTACAGGTGCCCTTAAAGACCAAAAGCATCAAATGCCCTGGAGCTAGAGTTACAGACCTTAGGCTGTCTGACATGGGTGTTGCAAGAGCAATAAGTGTTCTTAACCACTATGCTGTTTTGCCAGCCCAGTGTTTTGACTAGTATTTGCTCATGAGTAGATTGGTTGGAAGTAGTGTTTTCAGTTTAAGGAAAGTAATTTCTGTGTGAACTTTAAAATTTCTTTAGCAGGAGGTAACGTAACAAAAATGTTGAATCATCCACCATTCCTCTAAAAGAAATTTAAACATCTATTTCTCTTTTCTGTACTTGCATTTTGTTTTAAGATAGTGTTTATGTATGAATGGATTTTTTTGTTAATTTCTTTTGAGATAAGGTCTTCTCTCAGTATATGTCACTGACTGGTGTGGTATTCCTATACAGAGCCTAGGATGATCTTGAATTTGTATTAACTCAGTTTCAGCCTTTTGAATGCTGGGATTATAGTTGTGTTCTACTCTGCCAAGCTAGCAAGAGCCTGCTCTGCTTTCTTAATTTTTTTTTTTTTTTTTTCCGAGACAGGGTTTCTCTGTGGCTTTGGAGCCTGTCCTGGAACTAGCTCTGTAGACCAGGCTGGTTTCGAACTCAGAGATCCGCCTGCCTCTGCCTCCCAAGTGCTGGGATTAAAGGCATGCGCCACCATCGCCCGGCGGACATAAAACTTTTGTTGCTACTCAGAACAGAAGCACAGCCAATGTTCTGAATTTCTGCAATTCTGTCCTGTTTTTGTTATGACAGGGTCTACTTTGTAGCTGAATTTTATTGATATTCTGATGTGGAAGTAAATTCATATGGTGTGAACCTAGGTCTAAATAGTAAATCACTTTTTTTCAACAGCGCACACTGCTTCCCCACCATCAAGTGTTACTGGGATTGGAACTATAATAAGCGGGTCATGTGGGCCTGTTACTGTCTGTCCTAAGTCATCTTGATATGAGAGAATAATGTTTTGAGTGTAGCATATTCATTCTTAGTGTGTCTTGGGGAAGCACCTTCTTGTGATCTATGCTTCAGTGAAAAAAAATTTTTTTATATAAACTTTAAAAAAAAGTACCTTCTGTGTAATTTAACCATGAAATTGACTTGGCACTACTCATACGTCTACTTACAAACATGGGAAAGAAGGTGAGCAAGTCAAGTGTATTGTGTGTTCTCACGGAGGTGACATTTTAGACTGGATACATGTACAAATTTGATTGCAGGATACCTTTAGTAGTTCTTATTCTGTTCTACCCCCCCCCCCCCCCCCCCTTTTTTTTTTAAGCTTATAGTCAGTCTTTCCATTTTCTTCCTCTTGTTTCTACCAGGCTAGCTTCCTGGGAACAGTTCTGTCTCTGCCTTTTATTTTATAACTTTACCAGGATCTGACTTTTTTCTGTGGCTTTTAGGGACCCAAGCTCAGGTTATGGCTTGCACAGACAGCTAAGCCATCTCAACAGCCGCTTTTTTTCCCCCCAGTTACATTATTGTAACCATGTTTAATTTCTCAGGATGTTTGCTATGTTGTCTTAAAGTAGGTATACATTGGGTTTTACCTAATGGACATTGTTAGAACAATTTGTAATCAAAAACTTCATTTTTAGAGATAATACTGTGATACATGCCTAGTTAAAGAATGGGTATGTCACTTGACATTGTATCTTTTATAGTCTAATCAAAAAGACCTGAAAGTACAGTAAATAGCTTATTATAATTAGCTTTCAGGTGGCATACTTTTTTTTACTTACATTTAAATTATGTGTATGTGTGTCAGGGGATGTACTCACGGGTGCAGGTGTTTAAGGAAGCCAAAGGTGTCAGATTCCCTGAAGCTGGAGTTACAGGTTATGAGCCACATGTCAGGTGCTGAGATTTGAACTTAGTCCTCTGGAAAAACAGTACATGCTCTTAACCACTGAGCTGTCTGTCTCTCAAGTGGCATACCTCTAAGAGTATGTATAAAACTGAGAGTGATAGCACATGCTTATAATTGCAGTACTTGGGAGGCTGAAGCTGGAAGATGGCATGTTTGAGGTCAGTCTAAGCTACACAGTGGATTTCAGACTATTAGGGTTTTTTTTTTTTTTTTAGTGGGACCTTGTTTCAAAATATAAGTATACAGGCGGTGGTGGCGCATGCCTTTAATCCCAGTACTTGGGAGACAGAGGCAGGCGGATCTCTGTGAGTTCGAGACCACCCTGGTCTACAAGAGCTAGTTCCAGGACAGGCTCCAAAACCACAGAGAAACCCTGTCTCGAAAAACAAAACAAAGGCTAGTCAAAGCTACATGGCATGACTCTGCCTCAAAAAAACAAAAACGAAAACAAAATATAAGTATATGTACATCAGTGTTTTCAGTGGAACCCAAAAGTTACTTTAGTATTTGTTGGCCTTTAAATGAAAAAATACAAATGATGAATATAATTCTTTCTATGAATAGTTCTGTCTACAGGGAAAAAGTATGCGTTGATTTGTGGAAAGTTTATATGTATACATTAGAAATTTAAGGTTATTAAGCATTATTTAAGGTTATTGTTTGTTGGCTTTTTTTATTTTGAGATGGGATCTTACTATGTTGTCCTGGCTGGCCTAGAACTCAGTCTGTAGACCAAACTGGCCACAGACTCAAAGATCTGGCTATCTTGAACGTTGTGATTAAAGGCATGTGCCACTGTGCTTGGTTATTAAACCGAATAGGTTAGTGGATTAGTGTTATAAAAATTCCAGTGCCAGAGAGTTGTCATAGCTGGTAAAAGCACTCACTATGTATGCAAGCTTGTTTTACCACAGTCGAAGGAGGAAACTGATCTGAAAATTGTTCTATACATGTACATTTTGGCATGAGCATACCCACATTCATGCATGCACACAAATTTTAGTCAGATGAGGTGAGACATGCTTATTTCCAGCACTTGGGAGACTAAGAAAGGATCTGAAGTTAGCCTAGGCCGCCCAAGTGAGAATTTGTATCAGAGATGGAAAAAAAATTAAATGGAATGTAGAATGGTAAACACAAGGCATACAAACTTAATTGTGTTAACCTTGCACCAGCTGCTTTGTTCTGCTTAGTACTTCTTTCTTTGTACTGCCTTACATAATGTATTTGACATATAGTGGTTGTTAGAAGTGGAGTTTTCCATTTTACAATAAGAGAACGAGACTGTTTGATTAGGTTATGTATTATGCTACAAGACCAGTAAATGACAAATCTGGTATTTCAGTTTTTTAAAACTTTAAAATGTGTTTTCTAATACAGTTATTGAAACACACAAAGCAAATGTTCTATTACTTTTTCCTTTTTGTTTGGAAGACAAGTCTCACTAAGTTGCCTAGGCTGTCCTTGAACTTCATCTGTAGTTAGCCATCAATTAGCTAGGATAAAGTGGTGGTGCACACGTTTAATCTCAGCGATATGAAGGCACAGGCAAGCTATAGAACAGTCAGGGCTACACAGGGAAACCCTATTTCAACTTTAATGTTTGGTAGTTAAAAATGTTGCATTTTTTAAATCAATAATACTACTCTAACTTTATTGCTAAATACAAACTACCATTTTAGTTTATAGGTGCATTATCTAAAATTGAATTTTGCTTTTTTTTTTTTTTTTAAGACAGGATCTTGCTATAAGTCCTGGCTGGCCTGGACCTTGTTCTCTAGATCAGGCCACCTCAAACTTTTGGTTATCCTCTTTTCTTATAGACAGGAGCTCTCGTGCTGGGTTTAGGCTTTCATTTATGGTAAATCTTTATATTTGTTAAACTACCATAGTCTTAGGCATACTTTTTCAGTGTAGTGTAAATAGGGATTGATTGAGACAAGTTGAATACATGTATAGATTCCCATGAGAATTTAACAATAGATTGCCGGGGCTGGAGAGATGGCTCAGTGGTTAAGAGCTCTGGCTGCTCTTCCAAAGGTCCTGAGTTCAATTCCCAGCAACCACATGGTGGCTCACAACTATCTGTAATGAGATTTGATGCCTTCTTCTGGCCTGCAGGGATACATGAAGGCAGAGCTCTGTATACATAATAAATAAAATTAAAAAAATATTTAACAATAGATGCTTATGTAGGTAGCATCCTTGAGTCTTATAAAATTGCAACCTTTGTGTGTGAAGCCAGATCCTCATTGCTGAAGGAACTAGTTAGTCTAGGTAAGTCTTAATTTTTCTTCAGTGAGTTAAAAACATCATTTGTGTCTGTGTATGCACATGTACACATGGTTATGCCAGGGAAGGTAGACAACTTTTTATGAGGATTAATCTAAGGACCCAACTCAGTTGTCAGGTCTGTGCTGTAAGCACTTTCACCTGTTGGGCTGTCTAGTTGGTCATCTTCAGTGAGTTTTTAATAACTCTTGCATGTCATAAAGTAACTTTTAATGCCTTTTGTTCATTTGAAGTTAGATATAAAATGAAAACCAGAAAAATATACATTTATGATAGAATAATCTTACAGTACCGTTTTTTTTTTTTTAATTTTTAGCACTTTTCCAGTCATTAACTCCAGGCTCTAGAGAATTTGAAGATGTTTTAAATATTCTCCATTCATCTTACCTTGAGCAGTCCTCAGTAACACATTTTAACTATAGAAGAGCTTGCTTGATACATAATGAACTTTTGGAAAAGGAGGTATGTATTTAGCCTGTGGAAGAAATCCTTTTTAAGTTTTTGAAATGATTTCTTTGTAGTGCTAGGAATTAAACCCCTGGGTTGAACTCATGCTAAGTAAATGTTCTATCCCGAGATATATCCCCTCCTAAATTGTATCCCTTTTATTGCTGTACTGTGTTTATCTGCGGTGTTAAATTGTTACTAGTGTGTAGTTATGTATAATCCTGAAATTTAGTCATCCATATAGGGATAGCTTACTATAAGAGTACTTAATTGTAGATCGACAAGTTTTTTCCTCCTTTATATGTGTTAATTAAATGTCAACATTGAAAGATAATAAGATTTAATGTGTTAAATAATCTTTTTTTCTTTTTCTAAAAACGCTGGCTTTGTTGTTAATTTTAGTGAAATTTTTTTTTCTTGTGGATTCAAACAATTTCTTTTAAAAGATTGGGTCGTATGCTAGTTGAGAGTGGTCAGGTTGGCCTTGAATTTGAAGTAATCCTCCTGTATCAGATTTCCAAGTGTAATTGTAGGGGCAGGTCTCCCCCCATAGAAATTCTTACTGTAAAAGTATATACTAAGTGCAACTGTTGACAATGAATCCTAATTTCACATACAACTTAGATGTTTTTTTGAGTTTAATATAGGAAACCAGCATGTATAATTCTGATATAACACACAAATGGAATTTTAGAATGTTTAATATTTAATGCTTTCTAATGGATGTGAAATACTGCAAAGTCTGGTTTTATACCAGCTAGTATGCTACAAAATTTAACTTTGAATATCTTCCTGAAAGGCACTGTTACTAGTTCTCAAAAAATAAACATTTGGTAGTTTGATGTGGTTTCATGGTATAGTAGGGATTATTTGTTAATTGTATAAGGAAATTTTATCTGAAGTTACAGTATATGGTTGAAGAGGTAACCTGAATACAAATACAAAATGCTTGCTATTCTAAGTTTAAGTAGATAATCTGTTTGAATCTAAAAGTAAACCCAGCAGTTTAGATTACTTGATGAATATGGAGCATACTGTTAGAATACCAAACAGAGGTTGGCCTCAAACTCAAAGGGATCTTCCTGTTTCAGCCTCTAGACTGCTGGCTTTCCAAGTGCCACTATGCCTATTTAAATAAATTCAACCACCTGTTATGTCCAGTATACCATGTTAAGTGAGAAATAAAAGATAGCAAAACATCAGTTTATAATCTTTGAGGAGATGGGGGAATAGTAAATATTTAATAGAAAATTTGCTAAAATTGATAAGTACTAGATACTTTGGAATATTTTATATGGGGGATTAAAAATGGGAAGAAATAAAATCAAATTGAACATTGAATAGCAGAAAGCATTGAAAGATATTTTGATAGGTTTGAGATTTCTTAGAAAAATTTAAGGTTAATGAAACAATCATGCTAAGATAGATGAATTTCTTTTAGTTTACAGAAAAGAGAAGAGAACTGAAGTTTGATGGTCGATTGGATAAGGAACTTTCAGAATCTTACGCATTTCTCATGGTTGATCGATACCAGGTGAGATAATTCTGTTTCTATTGTAAGTCACGAGTTTCACAATCATTCAACAATACATTTTGATAAGCATGAGGTAACTTTTTTCCGAGAGAGAGAGAGAGAGAGAGAGAGAGAGAGAGAGAGAGAGAGAGAGAGAGAATATATATGTTGAACTCAGGTTGTAAATATTGGTGGTAGATTCCTTTACCTACTAAGCCCTCTTACCTAATCTTTGTTTATTCCTTATGATTTATCTTATTTTTAATAAAGTGTATGGTATGTGAACATGAGTTTGGATGTGTATTGGCTCTCCTGGAGCAAGAGTTACAGTAGTGAGCGGTAATACAAGCAGTGGTGAGCTGCCTGACATGAGTGCTGGGACTTCAGTTTGAGTTCTCTCTGCGCTCTTAAGCAGAGTCCTCTTTCCAGGCCTTGTTTTTTTTTTTTGTTTTGTTTTGTTTTGTTTGTTTGTTTGTTTTTGTTTTTATGAGCTCTGTAGATCAGGTTGGCCTTGACCTTGGGAGCATCTTGCTGCCTGTCACCTGTGGTTACAGGCATTCACTGTAAGATAACATTTTATTGGCATATAAATAGAAGAAATGATTCAGAGGGCAGATTATATGTTTTGTAATTTCTTTTTCAAATGTGGTCATTGTTTCTCTGATCAGTTTAATTTTGTTTCTTCTCTTAATCAAGAGCATGCTTGATTAAACACTTTCTCTTAGGAAAACAAAATTCTCTGTCTCTCTGTCTCTGTCTCTCTCCATATATATAAAACTATTTTTATATAGTTATATGTATTATATATATATGTATATATATATAGTTATTGTTTTTGTTTTTTTGAGACAGGGTTTCTCTGTAGCTTTGGATCCTATCCTGGAACTACCTGTTGTAGACCAGGCTGGCCTCAAACTCAAAGAGATTTGCCTACCTCTGCCTCCTGAGTGCTGGAATTAAGGTGTGCACTACCACCACCCGCCTTCATATATATTCTTTTTTTTTTTTTTAGATTTATTTATTATGTATACAGTGTTCTGCCTGCATATACACCTGGAGGCCAGAAGAGGGCACGAGATCTCATTACAGATGGTTATGAGCCACCATGTGGTTGCTGGGAATTGAACACAGGACCTTTGAAAGAACAGTCAGTGCTCTTAACAGCTGAACCATCTCTCTAGCCCCTTCATATGTATTCTTATAGCCATTTTCCCCCTTTAATAAATAGTAGTGATTAACTTTCTCTTTACTTGGGGTTGGAGAGGTGATTCAGAGATTAAGAGTATTTGCTGCTTTTCAAGAGGACCTGAGAAAATCCACTGCCCCTTTCTGGTGTTTGAGGGCACTGCACAGACACATACATATTGTTCATAAAGTAAGAGTATTAAAAATAAATCTTAAAAAATATTTAACTATTTTTGTGTCTTAATTTCCTTTTTGTTTGTGAGACTATCTGCAACAAGTAGCATAGATCAGGATAAGTTTCTGATAGGATTACCTAAGAAATTTAAGCAAGTTTTACATTAAATCTCACTATTTAACTGAAATGTATTGTGAAATTTTTGTTATGTATAGTTTGGAAAATTAGTTTTTGAAATTTTACAAATTATTTTTTCTTGTTATGATTTCAAACTGAAATGTTTCATTTACTTAGGTTCAAAGCATATGTGAAAAAGGATTGCAAGTGGGCCAGTCCAAAATAACCATTCTTGGCAGTCCTTCTATGGGTAATTATTTTGTTTTTTTTTTTTTTTTTCTGTTTTTTTTTTTTTGACTGCTATTAGTCGCCACTTAAAACTCTCAGTGTGATCTGCCTATAGAAACTGTTTATAACAAGACCAAGTTCTGAAATGTAATGCTGATTTTATTTCTTTGTTTCTGAGTTTTGCATACTTCTGATTGGTCAAATACTATGATTTAAAATGTTTCATTCTGGTCAAAATGATTTTTGAAAAATGTGATTAATTTCCTGTTTTACTCTGGTTTAAGCATCAGCCTTCTTTGCTGTCTTTAGTATTTCTCTTTTAAAAAGTTGGCATATCTCCTATCCCTATTATTATTATTAGTTAAATATTTTGATTTAAAAAAATCTAATCAAATTATTTTTCTCTTTCTGCTAGGTGTCTATCTGTGTAAATATGCAGATCTCTTACAGGCTAATCCTTTGGAAGTTGGGGCAGTGGGAGATGTTGTTATTTTTAAAATAATGAAGGTAATTTTAAAATTTTAATTTTTATTTGTATATATCAAAGAGAGCATTTAACTTGGACTTCAATTTTAAGTGATCTCATGACTTTAGGAGTTTGAATTAAAAGTCTATATTTGGTGGTATATGAAGATACTTGAGAATTTTATGTTTTGAGACAGGGTTTCTCTATAACAGCCCTGGCTGTCCTGGAACTCATTCTGTAGACCAGGATGGCCTTGGACTCACTGCCAATTTAATGTGTGTGGGGAGTGAACAAGCCACAGGATGCGTGTGAAGATCGGAGGAAGACTTGGGGGGGTGGGGGAGTTAGTTCTTGCAACCTTGTGGGACCTGAGAATCAAATTCAGGTCATCAGGCTTGGTGTGTTTACCTGCTTTGTCTTTTTCACAAATGTACACACACACACACCACACATTTAAACTGTTTCCAAAGAGAATTAAAAAAAAAAGAGAATAACATGTTGGTGATGTAAGTAGGTGAGCAGTTGAATAGCACTTGTATTTCCTCATTATGAAAGTATATAGTAAAAATAAGGTTAAACATATACTTAAAATGTTTTCTTTATTTTAGGGTAAAATAAAGAGTATTTATGATCCTCTGAGTGTAAAAAGCTTGGAGCCTATGTTAAATAAAAATGCTTTGGATCCTACACCAAAGCATGAATGTCATGTGTCTAAAAATGCCAGTAGAATTACGTCCCTTTTGGCTTACAGAGCCTATGAACTTACTCAGGTATGTACTTGGATCCAGTTCAGTGTGAAAGATTTATTATTGTATTTATGTGTCTGTCTGTCTTCCAGTGTGTGCAAACAGGTGCTTGCACTTGTAGGTGTGTAGGCCGAAGAAAAAGGTAACAGATCAGATCAGAGCTGGAGTCACAGGATATTCACCTGGCTTGTAAAGACAGTCCTGGGATCCAAATTCTGGTCCTCATGATCAAGCAAGCACTTTAGCTGCTGACCCGTCTCTCTCTAGCATCACCTTATTATATCCTGAAATGCCTGCATTTCACAACCCTAGAAAGATCTTTTTTTTTTTTTTTAAAGATTTATTTATTTAATTTTTAAAGATTTTATTTATTTATTATGTATACAGTATTCTCAGTATTCTATTTGCATGTATGCTTGCAGGCCAGAAGAGGGCACTAGATCTCATTACAGATGGTTGTGAGCCACCATGCGGTTCCTGGGAATTGAACTCAGGACCTTTGGAAGAGCAGGCAATGCTCTTAACCACTGAGCCATCTCTCCAGCCCGAAAGATCTTTTCTTGTTTTGTTTTTGTTTATTTTTTTTTTTTCAAGACAGGGTTTCTCTGTAACTTTGGAGCCTATCCTGGAAACAGGGTTTCTCTGTAACTTTGGAGCCTATCCTGGAACTCACTTTGTAGACCAGGCTGGCCTCAAGCTCACAGACCTGCCTCTGCCTCCCGAATGCTGGGATTAAAGGCATCTTCCTCCACCGCCCGGCTCCCTAGAAATATCGTATTGGTGAATAAAATACCATTTGCTTTTCAAAGTAAATGTCAAGCTCCTTGACTATCTTAGTTCATAAAACTTTGTTCTTTTGATATTACAATTCAGACTTAGAGTATATTTTTAAGCTTTACCAGATAACAGAAAACTGTACAAGCTTTGTTCTCTGCTTTTCTTAAAAAAAAAAAAAAAAAAAAAAAAAAAA